TATATATATATATTGTTAAGTGCCGTTGAGTCGGTTCCCACCCATAGTAACCCAGTATTGGGTTTCTGAGGAGCAGCTAATGAGTTTGAACTGCCAACCTTGTGGTTCAAACTGACTTTACAGTACAGCGCATTAACCCATAGTGACATACTAGGACTCCATATATTTTTTTTTTTATTACTCTTATTTTATAGCAACAAATATATATGTAAATGACTACTCTAATTTCACAGCAACAAACACTGGTTCCTCATATGTCCCAAATAGATCTTTGAATACTGAGTTTTCAAAAAATAAGTCTAAAACAGGAAGAATAATAAGAAAAAAAGATCTGTTACCTTTGACAGAAATTTTGGTTTTGATATATTTGAATTGGTTTCTTCAACTTGATTAGGGATTTGCACTCCAAAAGACCAACCTCCAAGCCTATTAACAATAAACACTGTGTTACTCTTTCAGCGAGTGTTCCAGAATGCTTAAGCAGAGTGTATTTCCTTACCAATGGCAATAGTTACAGTGGTCTCAGGAGAGTAGCTAGCTGAGCATTCATCATTTGTGAGTTGACCAAATAGACAAACCATCATTCCCCAGGAGTGTATCCACTGACAAAGCTATACAGTATCTTCTGATCTAGGGGGATCGTCTTCCTGCATACAAGCTGGGCATGCGGACCTGCAGTGTGGGCATTGCTTGTGTACAAAGTAGTCATGAGACTCTCCATGTCAGTAAGTGCACTTCTGAAGTTACCATGTTAGCAAACGCTTGCCATGTAAATGATAAAGTTTTGCTCATCTGCACTGTATTTTAGCTAAGATAATTTCCCTGTCAAAGAGTCATGCCTAATTATTTATAGTTTTGTCATATTTTGTCTCCCCTAGACTTCTTCTTTAATACTCAACTCAATATTTACTTATTTAGGAAGATATCTCAAAAGACTTCACTTAGGTTAGATTGTCCTTCTCTTTTGAGTTTGCACCATGCCCCATATTTCCACTGCAGGTTTTACCATGGTGGCTGTGTGCTGTGGAGTCGGTTCCGACTCATAGAAACCCTGTACAGAGTTTCCGAGGCTGTAAATCTTTACGGGAGCAGAACACCTCATATTTCTCCCATGGAACAGCTGGTAGTTTCGAACTGCTGACCTTGCGGTTTGCAGCCTGATTCATAACTACTATGCTACCAGAGCTCATTAACACAGTGGATTTAAATTTTTTGTTTTGCTAGTTTATGAAGCTCTTGAAGTTTCTTCTAGGTGGAAATTTAAATCTTTTAATCCATACACATGGACTGTTATACCTGGCACATATTCAGCTAGCAAAAACATTTGGCATTAAAAATAAGAGCATATAGTGAACTCCATTTACTACTCTGCAGACACGTAAAGACTGAAGAGTAATCTTCTCCCATAGAGTCCCTACCCTGTGAAGGCCAGTAGAAGACAATTCTCTGCAAACGTATACCTATAAGAATAATGATGCATTCTCACTTGACTGAATTTAATTCATTCAACAAATATTGATTGAGTGCCTTTTTGTGCCAGACACCTTTTTAAATTCTGAGCACCTAAGTCTCAACCTTCAAAAAGCTAACCATATAGAATACAAAGAAAAACATTGATTTTAGAACACTAAAAAAATGTGGGCAGCAGAAGAGGGGCATGCAAAACATTTAAGGTTAGAGCAGGTGTTCTCACCACCTGTATACCACTTTGTCATACTTTGGTATGTTGCTATGATGCTATAAATTATACCACAAGTATTTCAAATGTCAGCTGTGTCAACCACAGCAGAAAGGTTTCAGCAGAACATCACTTCCAGATTAAGGCAGACCAGGGATAAAATCCTGAACAACTCCTTCCAAAAATTAGCCAATAAAAACCCTATGGTTAACAGATTGAGTGCAGGAAAATGAGCCCCATAGATTGGAAGACTCTATAATGCTGCATCAGTGGACTTAAACAGACCAGTGATCATGAAGGTGACTCGGGGTCAGGCAATAGTTCATTATATTGTACATTAGGTTGCATTGATCGGAGCCAACTTAATGACAACTAACAAGGCAGGTGTCCAAGAAGAATGATGGTATGTTGGGATATTACAGTTAAAGAGTAGCCATGTGAAGGGCAGGTTGGCGCGTTCCAGGCAATGTACACAATCTATTGAGTGCATTAAATGTGAAGCCCTCTTGCGTGCTTGGAAATGTTTGTTAAATGTCATGATATGGAGAATGTTACTTGGTTTAAAACATTAAGATGGTCTATCAGCAAGATACTATCAATCTAATCTAGACTCACCCCTCTTAGGTTCAGGGAAATTCAGCACAAAACTTGTTATCCAAAAACTACTTAGAGGAAAGGAAGACACCAGGTGTACCTAGCTTCCCACATCAGCTGCTTCACAGCAGAAGGAATTATAAAATGTGATTATTATTTCATTACGCTGTTAAGTTATTTGCTCTTATACTAAAAGGCATTCTGACTCCCTCTGCTTCCACCACTGACTGAATTGAAATGTATCTGATTTCTTTCCTCCATTCCAAATGAGTGAAAATCAGCAGTGAGGAATTTATTAAGGCCTGCAGCATTTGTTTGGAATTTGGAGGAACACCAAGTTAATAGTAGAATTTTGAAGAATACTAGAATTTGAAACAATAGGCTTTCCAAAGCAATTCAGACACAAAAGAAACACAACAATAACAATGAAAATACAGCACATATTGTATTTTGAATATACCTGGGTTTTTTAGAAGCCATCAGCAGGTAATTCTCCACATTGAAGGCGGAAAGGTTCAGCAGAGTGTGGCCCAGGCTGTTCTTCAGATAAGGAGCTGTGGAGTTTCCATATGAGCATTTCTGAAAATATTATTCAAATATATAAAATAGAAAATTATCAATGAACAGCAAACAGGTTTACTGACATGACTTTAAACTAAATTTAACTTTTCCAAATTTTCAATTAAAAAAAAATGTATCTATGGTCTTTTATATGTTTCAATTTCCCAAATCTCTTTAAGAGATGCCTGTATTTGAAGATTCTACTAGAAGTCCACTATGATCTTAGCAGTCACTTAAATGTGGGGCTTCAAAATCTTTTCTGCATGTATTTTTGGACTGATGGGTAATAACCAAAACAGGAATATAATGATCAGTCTAGTACTTGATGAACCCGAGAGTCAAGAGGAAATTAACTAGTAGGAGAATCATAAGGTGAAATCAAAGGAATGTTTCATAAATGTTAAAGTGGAAAGCAAGCAGCTCTTCTTCAGTCATTGGAAAAGAAACTACTTCTGAATCACTGACCAAACAAATATAAGGGTATGCATCACAGGACACTAGGACCCAGGAGATTGGAGGTTACACATGGTGTCCTGACCATAGATAAGGCTCAGATTTCAAATGTTTTCCCATCTTGTAGAAGAACTTAGGAATGATGTGGGCTATGAGTTGGACTCATGGAAGGTCAGCAGTTCAAATTCACCAGCTGCTCCATGGTAGAAAGATGGGGTTTTCTGCTCCCTTAAAGATTTACAACCTCAGAAATCCTACACAGACTCATTAAGTGTCAGAAGCAACGTAATGATACACAGCCACCACCAATGTATTAAAATAGTTTTGACTTAGGGAAGAATTCTGTCTCTAAACTTTTCTCTTCAAAAAACAGCTTTCAGAAAAATTTTCTCCTGTGTAAAATGAAAATTAAAATAGCATTGTTCACTCCAGGGTTGTTTGTAGGTTCAGATATATATTAAAGATCTATGAAAATGTAAGGAATAATAGGACTCCAGTGGCACTGTGGGTTAATGCGCTGGACTGCAAAGTTGGTTTGAATTGAAAGGATGGTAGTTCAAGCTCACCAGCTGCTCCTCAGAAACCTTATACAGGGTCACTATGGATCAGAGTCAAATCAATGGCACTTAACAACAACAGCAACAAGGTAATGATTTAGGTTCCTAATAAAAAGGCTTGGAGAAAGATGTTGAAAGGAATAATAAGACTTCTAAGAAGATGGTGGACTAGGCCGACAGGTTACCCCAACTCTCTACAAGAAAGACAGCAAAGACCAAATGGTATAGATTATCATTCTGGAGCTCAGATTCTCAGAGGAAAGGTTTTAAAAAGTGGATAAAATACTGACTAGGAGAAGCTGAACCAACACTGTGAAAAAGGAACAGTGACTTTAAGCTGTTTAACCCAAACTCACATAGTTTGGGTTATCTTGACTTTATGCAAGCAGCACTTAGTCAGGGCAGCAACCTGATCATCAGTTCCACTAAATCAACCAGAACAGCACAAGCGTCCACACTGGTGGCAGGTCACCTTCACCTTGTGTACCCCACTAACCCAGTAGCTGATGTCTGCCATCTAAGTACAGCATCTGTGTTGTCTAGGCTGAAGGGCTCTGTGCCTCCTCCAGCCAGCAGCACAGTGCTGGATAGGTGTTCCCATTCAGCCCCTGGCAAGCAGGGACTCCTTCCAAAACCCAGCACCTTGCCCCAGCACCCCTTCTAAGTCAGGTCTCTTGACACTGTCACCTTCAGAGCCAGCTGGTACTACTTTTCAGACTAGGTGACCTGACCAAAGTCACCTTCTCAGTCTGCAGGAACTCTATCCAACACCAGACAGCCCTTTATCTTCCCCAACATACATTCCACCTCTATGGCACCTCACCTCCTTGGCAGACAGAGCATGCCCACCCATCCTAGGTGTTGTGACCCCTGACTAGTGACCTGGCCCTGGAAGTTTTCTCCTTTGTTTTTTTCCCCTTTTCTTTCCTTTTCCTTTCAGGTTTTGGCTTTTGTTTTGTTTTGTTTTTCTGGTTTCCTTTTTCTATTATTTCTTCTGTTTAATTTTTACTTATTTCAATCTCATCCCTTTTTCCAGTTGTTTTGTTTTTTGTGTTTTCTGGTATATTTTTCTTTACTATTCTCTTTTCACCCCATAGGTTTGTTTTAAGTTTTCTTCTTTTCTTGCTCCATTGTTTCTTTTTCAAATTCTAATTATTAGTCTCCTTTTCCTACTGTTATTTCATTTTTCCCTCTCATTTTCCTTTTTTTCTATTTTATTATTTATGTTGCTATTTGCTTTTGTTTATAATTTTCTATTTTGATTTTTTTTTGTCCCACTAAGCAGGAGACAGTAACTATGTCCACACTGCCAAGCCACACATGTCCTCCTGCCACCCCACCCCAGTGCATCACCTGGTCAACATTAGAAGGCAGCCAACACCAGTCCAACCAATCCAAAACATAGAACTGCACATGCTTCCCATCTCTTGTAACATCCCCCAGGAATCCTGGTGTGATGACGTGGGTTAAATATGCTGAACTGCAAAGCTGGTTTGAACCATAAGGTCAGTGGTTCAAGCTCGACAGCTGCTCCTTGGATACCCTATACAGAGTCACTGTGAGACAGAATCAATTCAGTGGCACCTAACAACAATATCACAGCTACCCAGAAACAGGTAGCAAGTGTCTAGCTTTAATTGGTGATTGTTCACACAATCACCAATTAAATACAAATAGAAAAATAAGACTGTGTCTCATGTTCTTGTCAGGTACTGTTGGCAACCCTAAATAGGGTTTCTGAGGAGCGCTAGTGGGATTAACCATCCACCCTGAAGTTAGCAGTCCAGTGTTTATACTACAGCACAACACAGCAGTACAATAGGCATACACAATTTCAGTTCACACAAAGAAACAAGGCAAGAGTGGACCAACAAGTGTCTAAAATATGCAGCCAGAAAATCTTCCTGCAAAAATGGCATTAGATCTACTTGATAAGAAATTCAAAAGAATGATATTTAGGTGTCTTCAATAGAAAACAAAAGCAAAGCTCTAGAAAAATCAGAAGACCACTAAAAGAACACACACACACAAAATTTAAAGTAGATACTATAAAACAGCAAATAGAAATACAGTAGATTAATACTAAGTTTTTAGGAATAGATAATACATTGAAAGGGCAAAGGTATATAATTGAATCAACAGAAAACAGTATTAGTGTGACAGAATATAAAATTCTCAACACTAATCAACCAGAGGAACAATCAGAAAAAAAAAATAATAATAATAAAAGGCCTCTGATACGAATCAGTCTAAGAACTGCAAGGTCAGCAGTTTGAAACTACCAGCTTCTCTGTGGGAGACAGATTAAGCTTTCTGCTCCCATAAAGATTTACAGCCTTGGAAACCCTGTACAGGGTCACTATGAGTCGGAACCAACTCCACGGCACATAACCATCACCCATCAAGAATTATATGTGAAGCCATCAGGAGTAATTCTTTACATATGATCAGAATTCCAGAGACAGGGTTGTATTCTTTCACCATACTTATTCAACCTGTATGCTGAGCAAATAATACGAGAGGCTGGGTTCTATGAAGAAAAACGAGGCATCAGGATTGGAGGAAGACTCATTAACAACCTGCAATATGCAGATGTTACAACCTTGATCGCTGAAAGTGAAGAGGACTTGAAACATTTACTTATGAAGATTAAAGAGCACAGCCTTCGATATGGATTACATCTCAATGTCAAGAAAACAAAAATCCTCACCACTGGACCAATAAACAACATTCTTATCAATGGAGAAAAGATTGAAGTTGTCAAGGACTTCATTCTTCTTGGATCAACTATCAACACTCACGGAAGTAGCAGTCAAGAGATCAGACGACATATTGCACTGGGCAAATCTGCTGCACAGGAACTTTTTAAAGTGTTGAAGAGCAGAGATGTCAGCTTGAGGACTAGGGTGCGCCTGACCCAGGCCATTGTGTTTTCAATAGCCTCATATGGATGCGAAAGCTGGACAGTGAATAAGGAGGATCGTAGAAGAGTTGATGCCTTTGAGTTGTGGTGTTGGAGGAGAATACTGAAAGTGCCATGGACTGCCAAAAGAACCAATAGATCTGTTTTGGAAGAAGTGCAGCCAGAGTGCTCCTTGGAGGCCAGGATGGCTAAACTTCGTCTCTCCTACTTTGGACATATTGTCCAGAGGAAACAATCGTTGGAGAAGGATGTCATGCTGGGTAGGGTGGAGGGTCAGAGAAAAAGAGGAAGACCCCCAACGAGATGGATCAGCCAGGTGGCATCATTGATGGACTCAAGTGTGGCAGCGGTAGTGAGGTTGGCCCAGGTTTGAACATTGTTTCGTTCTGCTGTGCATGGGGTCGCTATGAGTCGGTTCCGACTCGATGGCACCTGACAACATATATATATATATTTATGTATGTATGTATGTATCAGTCATAAAATTTTTGAAGATTTGTTGGAAGAAATTTTCTTAGTTTCATGAAACATGAGAAATACTCAACAAATACCAAACAGGTTAGACTCCAAAGGAAAATCACCAAGACATATTAGAATAAACATTTCCAAAACCAATAACAAGGAAAGAATCCCGAAAGCAGGTTGGGGAGAAACAAAAACTATAAAGAAGAATCACTAAGACTAAACTCCAAATTCTAGGCAATAACCTTGCAGGCAATAAAGTATTGGGATATAAATAAAACTTTGGGAGAAAGAAAACTGCCAACCAAAATTGTCCCTTAAATATGGTGGCATCATAGGACATTTTCAAATAACCAGAAATTAACACAATTTTTAAAAACCAGACCAAGTTTACAAGAAATACTAAAAGGCATATGACAGAGAACCAACAATGGAAGACAACAAGATTAACACAAGATTAACACAAAATTAACACTGTAGGGGTAGTTTACTTCATACAGGGCTTGTAGAAACACAGTGATTGTCACTACCACCAAACAATTAGTTATATTTCCTCTTTCTCAGATTGATCTGGGTACATGAAGGTTGGGGAAGAAGCTGACAAGACACTAAGATTCAGTTGT